ATGACTCACCCAAGGAGCTGGGAATCGAACTCAGAGCTCCTAGGTCCCTGACCCCACAACCAACCTTCTTCTCCAAGGATCTCCTGGATGTTTGACCACGTCCCTCCTCTCTATGTAGCTCTCCCATTCCCAGTCTGTGCCCCCTACCTGACAGAAGGAGAGACATGTCTGAGCCTGGATGGCAGCCTATTGAACCTGATGGCTTGGGGGATACACGGGAGGTCTAGGCGATCCTGTCCGTGCAGGCAAGAGCGATGGGTAAGGAAGGTTTGGGGCTCACCTCAGCTGCATTGGAAGCAGGGAACCTTGTGATGTCTCGATGTGCTTCAGCTCTAATGCATGTGGTACGGGGCCCCAGGTTGTCACTTGCAAATGGAGACCGAACTCCCAGTCTGCCTTCAGGGCGTGGGCGTAGGTGGGGTGTCTCTTCCTTCGGGTCATGGCAGAAGAGATGTGGATAGATGGATGGAGGGGTATGTGTGGGGAGGAAGGGATGGAGGGTTATATGTGAGGAGGGATGGATGGATAGACAGTTGTGTGTGGGAAAGAAGGAATAGAGTGGGATGGATGGAGGGGAATGGATGCAGATGAACCTGAACCAGTTTAACACATCAACAAGAAACCGAAATCTGTGCTAGATTTACAGATCGCCTTTCAGCCGTCCGGACATTGTCCATCCCTAGTTATCTGACTGGCCCCCCATTATTAGCTGACCGCTGTGACTCCAGAGTCCCCGAGCACACTTAGGGCTTGCACTGAGGCATTCCTGTCAAGCAGCGACCATTATAGGAGGCTTGGGAAGTGGCCTCCATTCACTCTTTGCCACCATTTTGTTTCCCTCCAGATTCAGCACAATGTCCATACGCCACAGGCCAGAGGGCAACATGGATTTGAGGGGCTTGGGCCCACAGCTGTCTTTCCTCCAGCCAAGCCTGGTGCTCTGGGATGAGGAGGATTGGCAATTGGCCAATCAGCTGGGACAGTACTTTGGGCCTGGCTTTTACTGAGCACTCACGCTCAGCCACGGCCGTTAACGACTGACGTGGCTCATTCCTCCCTTCTCTCTTTCTCCTTCCCCTTTTCCACCTCTTCATAGTTTTCCACCTAAATCAGTAGCTTTTCCAGACAAATAGCCTGACAGTGACCGATCTCCGGCCGCTTTGTAGCAAATCAATCTCAACTATTTGATTGACATTAAACACACAGCAGATTCATATTACCCCCTGGGCAATGGCTTCTCAGTGCATGCAGTAATTGTGGGTTTTATTGCTTCAGGGGGCTTGAATCCAGTTTTGTACAGCAATCTATATAAAATCCTGGGCTGCTTTAATTAATCTGCACAACGTCCTATTGGATCTAGCTCTGTTTGGGGCCTATATTCACGTTTTTTGTATTGTCAGTGACAGCTTTTCTGTAATGTGTTTTTGCGTGAGATCAGATGGTGTGTGTACGTGTCAGAGAGAGGGAATGCATGTGGGTTTTGTGGGAGAGAAAGATCAGGCACCTGCTGCTCCTACTTGTAGGAGATCTGTAATCAAGGCTGTATTTTGGGACTTCTGGTTTCATCGTGTGTGCAGTTGTGGTTGGATTCATTATGGTGCCACTTCTGCCTGCCACCTGCTGCTCAGATGCACAAGCTACACAAAGCGTGTGTGGGAACGAGGGGAGCAGAACGACACATAAAACTGAAGTGCTGATGATGCTCATTAGAGATTCCATGACACTTTTTGCAAGAGTAACTCAGGCTGCTGGTACAATTTCAGCTGTGGGCAATTCCGTTCGGCTTCTTGTAAATGTGCTCATTGCTATTGCGTAAAAAGTGGGAGTGTTACTCTCCACTTCCTGTCCTAAACCACTGCCTACGGAAATGATTATTATCCACCTCAGAGTTTGGATTGTGAGGCCTTTTGCCCTAGATCAGAGAAGTGACCCAACTCTCTGATCGCTAGGGGCAGTTCTCAGCCCAGATCCGAGGACTGAGTGGCTCCCACCACAAAAACTAGTGGGTACTGTTAATCTGTCACCAGGCGCTGTTTTAAATCCCCCCACACACACTTGGAAGAGGTCTCCACAGAGTGTGAAATGTATTGGTGAAGGGACAGCTGTTGTTCATGCCTGTCTTGTTTGTGCAAGCATGTCAGGTGCGCAGGCCTTGAATGGTTACACATCTCCATGCCCATTACATGTCTTGGCATCCCATGCTGTCCGTTCTTCCAGAGCTAGGCCGAGGTCATACAGAACCCCCCCACCCCAAGACACCCCCTTTTACAGCCACTTTCCATTGAGGTGTGCCCCTGGGAAGTGTGGAAGCAGTTGGGACTTGGATGGTCTCCTGGGGCACAAAGCTAACCATTTCCAGGGTTTTTTTGGGAGGTGTGTGTGTGTGGGGGGGAATAGAGGGCATGATTGGACCCATGTCATGGGTGGTGGGGAGAATTAATTTTACCAGGGAAAGCATTATGGGGTGGATGGGCCACCCGTGTGAGCAGAGGTCATGTTGGCGTAATGGCACTCCCTGCCTTGCTATTTACGGCCCGTAATATGGAAAGATTATTTCAGGTCTGTAGGAGAATGAATTCACTTTGTTCTCGGGTGGGGGGGGGGGCTACCTGAAGGGTCAAAGGTCATGATGCCACAGCAGCGCCATGTTGTGTACCCTATGGCGCAAAGTACAGCACACTGACTTTATTTATGTGGGGAAAGTTAATCCTCTTTAGTTTGGGGGAGCCCCTCATTTGGGGGTGTCCATGGGCCATCGGTCACAGTGGCATGACAGCTCCTTGCCCCACATGACCCATTTATTTCATGTGGATGAGGGGAATGAATCCATCTTCTTTTGGGGGAGATGCTAATTTAGGGGGAGGCCAGTCATTCATGGGCTCTGAAGGGGTCATTTTGTTGCCGTGACCTCTGACCTCACCCTAAATTGCCACTGTGATTTCTGCTCCTGCGAGTAGCCCTCCAACCCTCAAAGGAGAAAGCCCCCCCTCTCAAGATGGCTGAAATAAGCATCTTTAAGAGGCAGCATCGCTGCAGTGGATAGACCCTCAGGAGATCTGGGCTCTGTTTGAGCCAGGGCAAGTCATTTTGCCAAACTGTGCCTCAGTTTCCCCATCTGTGGGGCTCCCGATACTGCTCATTGGTAACATGCTTTGAGAACCGCAGGGGAAAAGCCCCAGAGCTGGCCCTCAGTCCCAGCCCGTTTTAAGGTCCCCGTCTCATTTGAAGGGGTGCTGCCCGCTTGCCACGCGGCTTGCAGCCTGTCAGACAGTGTTTGTTTCACCTGTGTGGGGGCGCTCACTTTTTTGGGGGGTCCCCTCATTGGGGGTGCCCTGCTCATGAGGGGGGGCAGCCTCTCACCCCTCCTCTATTTAACACATGTGGGGGTGATTAGCCCGGTTTATTTGGGGGACCCCCCCATCCCTCCCCACACCATAAGCCACTGGTGACATAGACCCGCCCCTCCCCCACCGAGCCGAAGGGGCTCGAGCCGCGACCGTTGCTCCCGCCCCCAACCGCCCCAGGTTTGAATGTTCCCGCCTTTCTCGTGGAGGGGCTGCAGCGTTCTGAGGCGCGCGCGCCGGCTGCTGCAAGTGCCGCGGTCCGCCCCCGCCCCCTCCCTGGGTCCTCGCCCCTCCCCCTCCGGGGGCAGCCTGCCCCTCAGCCACCAGGGAGATGGCTGCCCTGGGTTAAAGGGGGGGAGGGAGTGATGATGAGGTACTCCCCAAATCCCCCCCCCCAGCTAATGTGTGTGTGGGAGGGGAATAAATGTTGGGGGAACTTTAAATATCCCCCCCCAATAAACCCACAAGGAGCATCCCACGGCAAAGTGCCCATGCCAACAGCCACCCAGACAGAGCCCTTGGTGCCAATCGCTCTCCCTCAAGGAGCCTGTGCCCAGCCACGGATATGATTTACACCCCCCACCCCACGGTCCCTGCCTTGCCCCCTAGCAGTCACGCCAATCCCAGAGAACCCCACAGACCAACTGCCCCCGTAAAACAACCAACCCCAAATCCCCAGCTTGCCCCCTAACAGTCACGCCAACCCCAGAGAACCCCACAGACCAACTGCCCCCATAAACCACCCAACCCCAAATCCCCAGCTTGCCCCCTAACAGTCACGCCAACCCCAGAGAACCCCACAGACCAACTTCCCCCCCCAAACCACAAAAGAGGTTGGTATCACTAGCCCCACATGGGGAAACCGAGGCACGAGCTGAGGCAGGGATGTGCTGAAGCTCACCCAGCAGGCCAGTGGCCGAGTCAGAAGAAAACCCATTCTCCCTAAATACACCTTCATGTAGGCCAGACATCCCAGATAATGCCCCCCAAGTTACCTGGCCCACTGGTTCATCATGTCCCATTTCACCCCATTTTTACAGACTTTTGGGGGCTGCCTTGAGCTCAGGGCCCTGGTACAATTGTCCCCCCTTCTCTTTCTTTCGGCACTGCTCCCAAATACTCCTCTCAGATAAGCTGTCTACCCTAAATCCACCCCCTCGGGTAGGGAGGGCAGCCCTGGATAACCCCACAAATAAGCTTTAAATGGGCGCGGGGGGTGACTTGACCTCCACATTGCCCTCCCTCTGCTCTGTTTGATGGATGCCCCATTTGATTAGACAAGACGGTTTCCATTCTGAGCACGGGTCGGGTTCCCCTGGGACCTCTTCCAAAAGCGAACACAGTTTGGGGCCAAGTTCTGATGGCACCACTGGGACAAAACCCTCTCCTAGATACACCCGCGCGTAATCTGAGGGTCTGGCTGTACTGGTAAATACACCAATTCAGCTAACCCAGTGGCTACCCCTGTACAGCTAGCCCGTCAGTCTAGGGAGTCCCTTGCTACCCGTTCTAACCTCTCTTCTCGTCTAATTTAATTAGATCAATCAATCTGCTGCAGTTTACCCCATTCCCAACAGAGAGCTTGCTTGGAGGGCATCACCTGTCTGTTTTATTGCAGGGCCAGCTAAGGTGACGGGAGACATGGCCTCGGGAGACATGCTTTCCCCGCAAGGGGACGCTTCCCCCTGGATCAGGTATGAACTCGGCTGCTGTGGAGAAACAGGTCAGCCGGTGAACATGGAGACCACGTCTAACCCTGCAGCAGTTGCAGAATTGCCCATGGTCCAGTCGTCAGAGGGTATGTAGCGCCCTTTATGGGGTCTGTCTATCTACTCTATGTCCCCCATTACTGCAGTAATTGAGCACCTCACATTCTTTAATGCTACCTTATGAGCTGAGGAAATGGCACCCAGAGGGTGCTTAAGTGCTTTGCTGAATGGGGGCCCACGTGTCTAACCCACACCGTTGCAGATACGACCTTGAAAACGTGACCCAAGTCGTCAAGTGAGCAGTACGGTCTGCCTGAGTCTGCAGCAATAGCTCGGAGAGATTCCTCCAAATGGATTGTTGTTCTCTGAAACCTACGGAGGACAAATTCACTGTCAACACTGTTAACTTGCCCACGGTCAAACAGCAAGACGGGGTTAGAACCCAGGTGTTCAGAAGGCCTAGCCTGGTGCACTGCCTGCTAGACCATGCTGCCTCCCAGGTTAGGCCCTGATTCTGCAATCAGATCGGTACAGGAGCCCCGGTGGTGCAGACTAGATTTCAGGACTGGGGCCTTTCTGTGTGAGCTTAAGTGTGAAGAGGAAAAGCAAGGAGCACATTTGGTATAATGCTGGGACAGTTCATGTAAGGTGCTCTGTACCTTGACTAGCACTAAATGCTGTGTTCTCACGCCAGAGGGACTCTTTTAAAAGAGATCAGTCCTGCTTTGAGCAGGGGGTTGGACTAGATGACCTCCTGAGGTCCCTTCCAACCCTGATATTCTATGATTCTATGAACGCTGATGCTGTCTTTGTAGGGTGCATGCAGGGCCGGCTCCAGCATTTCTGCCGCCCCAAACAAAAAAAAAAAAAAAAAAAAAA